ACAAGTACTCTGTACTATTCTCTGTACTCCGTACCTACCTCTCCAAACCAAGTTGGAAAGAGCCTAAGGCAACGCGTTCTGCCTGCCTGCCTCTTCTATCTTGCTCAAGACACTGTCTTGTTCCCTGCTTTTCCGCGCAAGAAATCACATCTGTGTCTACGACACTACCCTGATATACCTTACCTTGCTACGAACACCAACCTCACTCACTCACCTTCGCCCTAGCAGTGTGCGAAAAGACGCGCATCTAGCGATCGACAGGGATCACCGCTCACTACCACTCCGAGCCGGTTTCCGACTGCCATCTTGGCCCTTTCTCCTCTGCAGGCTTCTCCAACTCTCCAGTTGCACCTGTGGACCTTTACGGTGTACCCGCACACAGGCCGCATTCCCCACGGAGGAATTATTTCGTCCTACCTGGAACAAACACTCCCAAAAAACCGCCCCCAACCAACAATACAGGAGACCCCAGAAACCGCTGCACGTCAACCGCACCGCTTTCCCGGGAACTACCTATCCAAGTGAGTAAACGCCACTTCACTTTCACATCAGACATTATTCAAACTAACCGCCCGGTGTTTTTGCGTTGAAGATCCAGAGAGAAAGACATACTTGGTCACTCCCTTTTCCTTCTCCTCCTTCTCCTCAACAAGGTTGGTACACTACTTTGCGCATCCTCCAATCCCCTTCCCCTTCCTTATAATGTAGCCTTCCTCACCCCCCTCGTTGAGTTGTATTCCACGACTCAGCCTCACAGCCGCTTCTTCCGCCACACATTTATTATACATGGCATCCCCGCCCTCTTCCGTTCACTCTCCTTGCATCGCATCCATTCACTTGCTCTTCTCTACCTCCCTTGTTCCTTTCACTCCTGTGTCGCGTATATCATATCTGACTGGCTCAAATCCAAGCAGTCGACTGTCACTGTAAAGGGTCCGACAACCACCGCAGCAAAGAATCCCACCTATCTCCGACCCGTCCGAACCGGCGGCAACCCATTTCGTCCGTCGCACTTTCTCACGCACTCTCGAGCGTCACCGCCAATACTTCAATCCGCCATCCCGCCTACCTATACTAGTGGGCACTTCACAGCAAGCAAGCAGACCAGGAAGCAAGCATCAGCAGTGCCAAGTACGGTAGCAATACCAAGAAATCAGCACACCATCTTTTCCTGGTATTGGACCCCTCCCTTCTCTTTCTATCGACAAGAGCTCCTTTCCACCACCACCACCACCACTACCACCACCACCATTATCCTCACGCTCACCTCTATTTCCTTCTTGTGCAACGTCAAGCGTCAGGCGGAAAGCCGAGCCAAAGCGTTGTTCTCGTCACCTCTCGAAAGGAACAGCAGCTACCGTGTAAAGTCGGGAGACTGACCTGGGTGAATATTACCCACCACCCATATTCTTCTGTAAGTCAGCATCCGTGTCCCATCACTGCACCTCGTCCGTTCTCCTTCGCGTTGCTCTTATTCCCTTTTCGCCCCTCGGCCCACGGACCGGACTGCAGACATGTCATGCTCGATAACACAAGCACACCTCGAGGTCCTGAACCACAAGTTGTCTTGTCCCATCCTGGCAAACCCTGCCTGCTGTGAACCCCTTCACGACCCCTTGTCTCTGGGCCTGGATCACCCAAGCCTTGAGGCGTGCTTCACACCGTCAAAAGTATCCGTATTCATTCCAGCAGAGGTGTTCTAACCTCCCTTGCAGCGGACGCGTCCCATTTTTATTTCCTGAGCAGACGCAAAAGACGCTGCACCTCCGTCACCAACCAAAGATAACTCACCGACACGAGCTTTACCTTTTCGCTCCCCCACAGCTTTGGTAGAGGTAAGGTGAAGCCGAAGAGGGCCCTCCCCAGCCCCAGTCCCAGTCCCAGTCCCCGTCCGTCCCCGTCCCCGATTCTTCTTCCCCCCCAAACCTACCTTACCTTACTCACCTTAAGGTACCTCAAGTACAAGGTACTTGGGTACCCCTCGCCTCTTCCCCCGCCCTCGCCCTCGGCGTCTGGCATCGGTCTCCCGCATGGGCTTTCCTTAGCACCCCTCCCATGTACGAAGTACGGATAATCGTGCACTTTAACAAATACTTGACACTACACACGTCCTTCTCGTTCAACACAGTCCTAAGCTAATTATTCCCCAGCCCAGTCCAGTGCAGCCGTAGCGCCCAGCCCCGAGGCTCCTACACCAACTTCTTACTCATACCTACTTTCGCTCACCCGCAGCCCGCATCGCACCGCCTGCGCACCACACTACAAACCCCCGACTCCCCGACAACGCATTTCCATCGCAACTTGTCAAGACTCAACTCTCTCCTTCTTCTTCTCCTTCTCCTCCTCCTCCTTCACCTCACTCCAAGACTCGACAAACACTTGGTCTTCTATCGCTTGTCTCCGCTCCTGCGAACCAACAGGCAGCCATTTCCTGCTCATCTTTATACACTTGTGCGACAGGCGACCTAGATCGCAAACCTTGCCTCGCTTACTCCCACACTCTCGCACTCTCAGTCTCTTTCGCGCGCACACACATACGCACCCCTCTTAACCGCCTTTCGGCTCGCTACCATCTACGACGCCGGCTTCCCTTACTTAGGACGCCATCCCCGCACCTTCCATATCACTGTAGTGGATGCCCGTGTAACAACGGTTTTGTGTGCTGTCGACCAACATTACATATTCCCGGCATTTTCCCTTTTGCTCGGTGAGTCAGTCCTGCCTTGGTCGCGCCCTCCTCCTCATACTCGCATTCCTCTCCCGCTCGCTCTCCCTGCCTATTTTGCCTAGGTGGCGTTCAAAACTGCCTGCGCCTGTGCGGAGAATATCCGCATATACAATCCCCGGTTCGTGTCTGCCCGACAGGAAAGCAAAACTGCGCGCAGCGAACCTCGGAGCACCTTTGATTTGCGCAACCTGACCATCATATTCGGCCGCAACGCTGACGAGTCAACTCACTACAGCTCTAACCTCTCCGGGTCAAACTTTCTCGAATCATTCCAGCATAACAGCGCAGCCTGCAACCACGCTTCTTGACGAAAGAGGCGGTGTGAGCACTACAAGGTCAGCGAGACCTCGCATCATCGCCGATCCAGCATATCCTTGAGGCGGATTCAAATCAACGCCGTGTCAACAGTACACACAATGGCACAGCACGGCTTCGGCCAGTTCAACGGTGGCCACGGTGGAGGTGGTGGCGGCAGCATCGATCCCAACGACTTGGCCATGGGCGGAAACTATGGATCATCCTACTCCAACAACTACAACTCCAACTCGGGGAACACAAATGGGTTTTCGAGCGGCTCTGCCCTCTTCGGAGACGATGAGCTACTCGACGGCCTCGGAAGCCCGACCGAACAGCCGCTACACGGCCACGGCCAGGACTTTGGTAGCGGAATGTCAAACATGGATATGGGCTTCAACCAACCCATATACGGCTCTCATCATGGCCTAGACCAAAATCACATCAACGGCTACTCCAACACCCCCGACGGTGACCCCATTCAAAGCCCTTTCGTGCACAGCTTCAACAACTCGGGATTCGCCCAGATGCACCACCGCCAGGCCCTCGGCACGTCGCTTCAGTCTCCCATCTCCTACTCGGGCTCGCCCTTGGCTGGGTCGGACCTCACTGGTGATGCTGCCGAGACCAACTACCTCAACGCCAAGAACAGAGCTAGAATGGCACAAGCTATGCAACGGAAGAGCTCATCTTCCAACACTCGCAGCCCCATGACTCCCAAGTCGGCAATGCACTCGGTACCCATGGCAACCCAGGAGTCTACTGGATTCGGTCCTCAATCCATCCGGGCTCAAGGCATGCATGAGAAATCACCATCAGGAGGTCAGTGGATGCAGACCCCATCGGGAAGCATGGCGGCGTCATATGGCTCTGGCTTCTCGTCGCCTATTCAACCCGGCCTCGCTCAGCTTAACGAGGTCATGATGAAGGGTGGCACATCGATGCCCGCAAAGCTGGGGGCTCAGCCAGGTGGTGCGGTTTCCTCTCAAGAGATGAAGCGCAAGCGGCGTCGGGAATCTCACAACCTTGTCGAGCGACGACGCCGAGACAACATCAACGAGAGAATTCAAGATCTCAGCAGACTAGTTCCCGCCCATCGTTTGGAGGATGAGAAGATCCGCAAGATGATCCAGAACGGCACCCCGCTCTCGCCTACATTGTCCGGCATTTCCAACCCCTCTCAGGCCACTTCGGGTCTTGCTGGTCCTGGCGCACGCCGCGCAGCTGGCGCAACAGGCAATATCACGACCGGCCTCCCCCTCGAGGACAAAGACAAGGGTCCCAACAAGGGAGACATTTTGAATGGCGCAGTCAGCTGGACGAGAGATCTAATGTGGATGTTGCATCTGAAGTTGCAGCAGCAGGAGGAGTTGATGAACGCCATTGCGGAACTCGGCGGTCATTTTCCATTTGAGCTCACTGAGGATGAGAAGCGTATGCAAACCGAGTTGATGGAAGCCATCTCCAAGAACGAAGTTCCAGGATACTCTCGCACGACCGGGTCTGGTCTCCGGGTACCCCATCACACCGACTTCCGCGGCGAGCCCATGAATGGCTCAGGCAATGTTGGTGACGGCACTTCTGTCAGCCCTGGCGCTACCAACGGCACCGGTCTCGCCAACGATCTCAACGCCGGCAGCGAATTTTGGAACGATCCGGATGATGACGACAGTGGTCCGACCTCGCTGAACTTCAAGGAGGAAGACGAGTTCGGCATGGACCTGACACAGTAGGACGGATTGTTAGAACCCATGACGATTTCCCCGTCGTCTTCATTCTGATTCTACTATGGTCATCTTCTCCTTTCAAGTTCCCGCTCTTTTTATGCATTCGCGCAGCCATGGTATCTTTGTTGCATCCAAGCGCGTTGGGGCGGTCAAGGATTTCGGTGGGCGACGGCGTTGAGAGGTCTCTTTTCAGTTACATGGGCGGCCAAAGGCTTACCAACAGCCAGTGAAGCACAACGTGGAGGAATGAGATGTGTTTTGGTCGAGCCGGCTCGGGGTTTGCTTTTTTCAGGTTTTTAAGGTTTTCATATTTCGTTTCTGTTTTCTGGGTTTTTCAAGCATCATCATCATCTATCGGGAGACGTGATACCTCTGGGTCCGGACGGGCATTGCACAAGGTCTTTTCTTTTCTTTTTAGGTCATCTCTAATTCGCAGGGCGGGTGGGCATGGGGGATGGTTCGCGGGTTCAATATCTTTCAGGCAATCCTTTTCCCCCACAATTGTTCTTACTCCCTCTCCTGGAATTATTTCTACAAATCTCTTCTCTCAATGCTTACACGCAGTCTCAGGTTCAACACATCTGCTTGGGATCCCTTGGTTTTGTTGGTTGGTTGTACCTTGGCGTGATTTATCTTCCAGATTTCGCGTGTCCATTTGGCGTTTGGCATGTCAGGGGAAAGTAGCTTCCACCTGCTTGCTGCCTCATTTTCCCGCATACATACAATGATACCCTCCCTTCCTTTCCTTGACGTACAAACGGCTGGCCTGCCGTACGTTCTTCTACGTGATCACACTAGCACAGTGCCGCGATTCATCTCTCTTCCCATGCTCTCCCCATGTCCGAGACTACTATCAGTCTGCATATCGTGAACTGTCCCTTGAAACCTGTTCATTACATGCGATGACGTGCGAGTGACCACACGCCTACCAGTGCCTCACACAGAGCAAATGCTCACTCATCGCCGTCAGCAGGTTCCATGCCTCCTTACGCTTCATGTCTTCCTGCAACGCGATCCTCTCCAGTGCTGTTTGCCCGTTGAAATACTTCCACATGGCCTGCCACGCCTTGGCGACCTTGGGATCCTTGAATCGCTTGCCGATGGCCGCGAGGTAGAGGGACTCCTTGCCCGTCGCCTTCTTGGCATCTACGATGATGTAGGGGGGCATTCGCGCCAGATGCGGCGCCTCGTTGGTTGAGGGGTGATCCGTCGCCGTGGGCGGTAGCTTGCGCGCGTGCGCCGTGGCCTTTTCGGCCGCCTCGCGCTGCGTCTTCTCTGCGATACGTTCTAGCCGTGCCTTTTCTGCCGTTTGCTCAATGTGCGACGGGATGTAGGTCGCGATACCGCTGCCGAAACCGCCACTTCCACTGCCACCACTGCTGCTCCCTGCCTCAGACTTCCCGTCTGCCGCGTCGATTGCTGAGCCACTCAGTGGATTGCTGGTACTGAGGGAGGAAGCATTCTCGGCCTTGCGCAATTCATCGCTTTCTAGCTTGTGCTCGACTTCGTAGATTATCTCGGGCCAGACAACAACGTAGGCGAATGTGCACAGTTGAGTCACCCATGCACCACGCATGAGCCACGCGAGCATAGCGAGGTACGTGGGCCGATGAGCTTTACTCGGGCAGTAGTGTTTGTATGACCTCGGCGCGTAAGATAGCTCGGCAAGGAAGTTGGTGAGCGGCGGTGCGAGGGGGAACGTCTTTTGCCACTCGAGGCTTGCCCTAGAGAGCTTACGGGTGTCGCAATTCGGCGACATGATGTATGTGTCACGGGCATGGAGGGGTGGAATCGCGATAGCACGCCGCCAGAATATGAAGTGTTGCGCGTACTTGCGCACCTGGCTCAAAGTCAAGACGTTGCTCTGGCCTACTTGATAGAAACTGAACGAGCATTAGCACGAGTACATGGTGGGTCTTGGAGGGCTTTCACTACTTACGATTGCGTTGGCTTCGACAGTCGGGCGAACTCGACCATGGCTACAGTACTCGGATCCAAATCTGCCTGTAATTCGGCAATGATCTTCTTCTCGTCGCCCATCAGCAAGAGGGCAAAGTTGCGGTCCAAGAAACCTGGCTCGTCTAGGGTATCTTCGCCGATGAATGAATTGGCAGTCGTCAGCCAGAGGCCTCTCTGTTCTGTCTGTCCATAGTTGTGCAAGTCCGTGACGTAAAACGGCACGGGAATCTGCACAGAGGGCGTGACTGGGCCCAGTGCTGTATCGAGCTGAAGGGCCGCAATCTTGTTCTGGGAAACGGCCTCGTAAATGTCTTGGACGGCAGCCGCGAGAGATGATGTCTGTAGAATCTCGTCCCATAGCAGACTCATTTTACGCCCTGTATTAATGTCAGCACCTTTCATCCGATGGTACCACGTAACCTGGCTTACTATCTTCTCGTCCCTTGTCCTTCAGGGCTGAGATACGTTTCGACTCTTTCCACACGAATTCACTTCGCTGCTGGCAGTACTTAAATGCCTTGTTGATCTTCTTAATGATGTTGAGATAAAGTGTCTCGATGAGTTCTTTGGCCTCATGTTTCTTCGGGTTCAGAAAGAACACCAGATTGAACATAGTCATGGACGCCCGCTTGTCGTCAGGCTCGTCTTGCTGGGGTTGTTCTTCCTCCTTGAAATCATTTTGCGACGCCTCGGCGCCCTTGGAGGCATCTTCATTATCCTCATTTGGGTCGAAGTCGACAAATACCGCCGATTCCTCCGTACGCACAGACTTGGATCTCTCTGACTTGGCCTTCTTGTTCTTCTTCTTCTTCTTCCAGGTCCCACTCTCGGGGACGTGGATGGGATAAGAAACACAGAATAAGGGGTCCAGAGAGAGTTGGAAGAGCTTCTTGTGATACGCTCTCCCTGGGGTCAGAATGCTGGCGAGATCTTTGGTGGGAAACCCAGCCACATGCTCCCATGGGACAATTTGCGTACCATCTTCGGTGATTAAGTGATCATCTCCGGCAGTCCATTGCTGAAGGTCGTCGGCGTTAGTATCGGAGTCGAGGGATGCTGAGCCGGGCGCATTAAGACGCTCCAGTAAGATATCATCATACTCGGCCGAGCCGTCGGCTGGCTCATGACTTTTGGAGTGCGCGTTGGGCGGCAAGACAGTGGGTGGATAATGGAAGACGAAGTTGGGACCATCACGAGACCTGTTGATGACCAGCGCTACGGCCAAGAAGTTGGACGGATTCGGGAGCACGGGCGGCGCCATTTCGGAAGCGATAAGAGATCCAATAGCGTTTATGAAAGCTTATGACAGGGCGGTCAAAGGCTCCAAGATGTCAACGGTGCCGTGCCCGGCGATCATCACTCACAAGTCCTTACTGTGGCGGCTATGTTGCAATGATAGTCGACAAAACCTGGGCTTGGGTTGATGCGCCAGAGGGACTGGCAGTCCGCATTCCATGAGACTCAGACCAGCAGGGCGAGAGTGGTACATGCGGCTGTTTGTCGTGGCTGGACCGTAGATGGGATGAGATAGGTCGCAGGTTCGATCCGATCTGCTGTAGTAAGCCCGAAGTTGGATGAGGATGGTGGCTGGATCGTAGGAAGTCGATGAGCACAGCCAATAGAGGTCAATGTCCGCGGTACGTATCTGTACAAACGGCTCAGCAGCCACCGGAAGGTGCAAGGTGGTCCGAGCACCGCCGGTCTGGCCCCGTTTCCTTCCTCGACGGCACTTCAAGGTGGGGTTGAGGCTCTCAAGGTTTCGGCTGAAGGCAGGAGTGAGGAGCGGGCAACCGGCAAGCCCCGTCAGACCTCAGTACATCAACGGTTCAGTGGGCTTCTCCTAAGATGCCTAATGCGAAAATGCGAGCTTGAACCTTTCGCTATCGCATGTTCTTGGTTGGAGTCATAAGTTTTAAGCCAGGCCAGAGGTGTGGCTCATTTAGGGAATTGAGGATGCATAGTTATTAGGTAGCCGGTTCGAAGCAAAAGATGAGACACGACACCCGACTGTAGTTCGCGATCAGGATGCTCAGGCCGGGTTGGACTTGATTAGACTGCAGGAGACGAGAGACACAGAGTCGGTGAGCCCTCTTCTAAGACAGCCTAAGGCAGGCAGCCCTCAGCCTGTGGCTTGAGTGAAGATAACGGTGCATCAAGGGAATGCACCTCTGCGACGGTCAGGTGCGAAACGAACGCTCGTTGCATAGCGAAATTGGTTCCCGAACCCGGTTGACTAACCAGTACATAGTAAAGGTACGACATTCGAAGTTACATTGTAGAGATGGTGAGTCGATACGGGTTTCCGCGCTGATCATGACTGGGGAAAGAGGCGAGTACAGTAGGCACGCTGTAGAAGCCCCAGAGAAGGTGGTGCTCTAAGGTACGGATACATTAGGCTCAGCTCCAACGATGACGGAATTCCGGCGTGGCTCCTGGGAATCGGAAACAAGTATTGGATGGACTGAATGAGGGGAAGCTCTTGAGACGATCCAGCGGCTGGGTCCTGCGATCCAATCCAGGCTCGTCAGGCCGTTGTGGCTGTCGCACTGCATTGCCGAGCAGCTGCAAGACCCTTGGATGCCACTGCTATGGACTCTTGAAAGAACCCAATGCTTGTGGTAAGGTAGGTACATTATGGTACGGGTTTAGTGTAGACCATCCAATAGCCCGAGGTGTGGAGGGGGAGGGGAACAGGACTTGGGGAAAGAGAGGCAACAATGACGGTAAGGGCGCCTCTCAGTCGTTGTGGTTGTTTCGGTCCCCCATCCATTTCCTCGTGCCTACCTATCTAATCTAATCACGAATACCTTAAGGTATATAGTTACCTAAGGTAGACTAGGTACGTAAGGTCTGAGCAACTGAGATGGACAGCAGCGTACCTTGGTTCCTTCTCCTCGGTGCCTATGCCGTGACGCTCGTGACACGCGTCCTGCGTCCTGTGCAGAAACAGAGACAAGGCCAACAAACAAGGGCAAAGTCACTCCAGGTTGAGCTTTTGCTTGAGGTCTGTCCTTGCTAGCGGAGGCGTTGTTGGGAAAAAAGCGCCCGCGGGAGCGCCCCGGTCCCCCAATCACAACGGGTTCCCACTGCGGCACTGCCCCCGCTCAGAGAGACCCTGAACATGAAGATTGAAAATCTGCTCCATCAAAAGCTCTTTTCCTGTGCCTGTCCGGAGTACGCGCATACTACGTACACCCGGGAAACTAATGGTGAAATCGGGGGTCTGGAAGAAAGGGAAGGTACACAGTAGAGGCAGGCCCACTCATGTGGCGGTCGTAAGTCGAGCAAGGCACGAGGTAATTGGCTTGTTCTGTGAGTGCGGTATCCATAAGGTCCCTGAAGGTGGAAAGTGGAAAGTGGGAAGTTGCTCTGTTCTGCACCTTCTTCACATGCTCTCGCTCCGTCTCTGTGTCTCTCTGTGTCTCTGTCCAGTGTCCACAGTCCTCCCTTCTTCCTTCTGATTTTCTTCCTCGATTCGTTGACCGACGACAAAAGAAGATTAGCCACTCGCACATACCGTAATTTCCCCAACGCGAATCTCACTTTAGACTACCAAACGCACCACATCATTCCAAGAGCCACTGCCACCTACCACTTGGGTGCTCCCTAAAAGATACTGCCTTTTTCTTTCATACCTTGGGGATCCGCACGAGGAAGGAAAAAGGTCTCGTGCTCGGCCACCATTATCTCGACGGCGCCAATCCCAAACCCAATACCCCCTCGTCCTCATCTTTTCCCAATATCAATCCGACAATACCCACCTTCCTCT